CCCTGTGCCCCCGCACCCAAAGCCCCTACCCCCCCAGCCCAGGCTCTGTGGCTGTCAGCAGCTACCCCAGCTCTGGGTAGCTGCTGAAGCCCAGGCTGTTCCCAGCAGGGCTTGCAGTGTCCCAGATGCCTGCTGGGAGCAGCCCGGGCTCCCGGCTGGCAGCAGCTACCCAGAGCTGGGGTTGGCTACAGTCAGAAGGCTGCAAACAGCTGTGCCAGGCTTCAGGCCCTGGCATCAGCTCTATACCGGTGCATGCAGGCACGCCTTGGAGAGGGCGGTGGGGGAGGGGCCTAAGGTAGCGCAACCCCAGTCTCTCCCCCCCTCTCCCAGCACAGAGCTGATGACTGGGCTCCGGAGCCCAGCGCAGCTCTTTGTAGGCAGCCTGGGCTCTGGGCAGCTGCAGCAAGCAGCGGGCAGGCTGCAAACAGCTGTGCCAGGCTCCACAGCTCCAGCATCAACTCCATGCTGGTGGCGACGGCATGCACACCTCGGGGCAGGCTGCACTGCCCCACTGTCCGCTCTGAGGTACACATGCAGTCACTGCCAGCATGGAGCTGATGCTGGAGCTGTGGAGCCTGGCACAGCTGTTTCCAGCCTGCCCACTGATTGCTGCAGCTGCCCAGAGCCCAGGCTGGCTACAAACAGCTGAACTGGACTCTGGAGTCCAGTCACCAGCTCTGTGCCAGGAGCAAGGGAGAGACTGGGGTTGCACTGCCTCAGGCCCCTCCCCCACTTCCTGCTCCGAGGCACGCATACACGCGTGGGTACAGAGCTGATGCTGGGGCTCCGGAGCCCAGCACAGCTGTTTGCAGCCTCCCGGCTGCAGCCGGCCCCGGTTCTGGGGAGCTGCTGCCACCCCGGAGCCCAGGCCGCTCCCAGCAGGCAGCTGGGATGCTGCAAGCCCTGCTGGGAGCAGCCCGGGCTCCGTCACTGGCAGCAGCTACCCAGAGCAGCTACCCAGCAGCCATCACTTGCCAAGCAAAACGGCCTTGTGTGCCACGCTCAGCACATGTGCCAGGGGTTGCCGACCCCTGCATTAGATCCTATCATGCCTTATTGCCAGTGAAAGAGAAGCCCAATCCCAGGCTCCTGCTGCATTGGCAAGAAGCAAGTTCCTGAAACTGGAAGGCTGGGTCAGCTGACAGGGATCCCAGTGGCAGGGGTGCCCCAGGGGTCCCCTGAGCTGGGAGACCACAACTGACGTGATCTCCCAGCTGCAGGGGTGCTTCATGCAGCTTGCCCGTACTGCTGTTGCCCTATGCGGTCAGGCCAACGATCAGGATCTCAATATCACGCTGTTAGACAGGAGGGCGTGGTGTACAATTACACATGCACACTCTCAAAAATCAATTAGACACATACACACATACTAGGCACATACACCCACACACTACGAACTCAGGCACACACACGCACATCTAAAATTACCAGCCTAGACACACACATACCTATCACCAATTCAAGCACCTATACACTATACACACTTAAAGTTAGACAAAAATCAATTGTTAATACCCGTGCACCCAATACACATACACGGATCACTAATTCGTATATCACACACAATGACATATATGTATATTCACCAATTTACACACAAACCACCCACCTACACATACACACAGGTGAGGTCCTCACTTGGGTGGTGTGGGAGTGTATGTGTGTGCTTAGGGTACTTGGGTGCTTGGTGACTATGGGAGGGAGAATCAAGGGTCAAAGATCTCCAGAAGGAGGGGAAGGAGAGAAGTTCAAATGAGACAGTGAATGTGCCAGGAGTGAAAGCTGCTGGGGCCAGGATTAGAACCACCAGACTGGAGGGGAGCTGGGGTTAATTAAGGTCAAGGGGCCCCAGGGTTATTTGAGGTCACTGGTGCAAGGGGAAAAGCCTGGTGGCAAGGAGGAGACAGCCAGGAAAGAGAGAGAGGCAGATAGCTGGGAGTTTGGGCCTGGAAACTGAGGCAGACAGCTGGGAGATCAGGAGGCAGATAAGTGGTGGCAAGGGGGAAACAGTCAGGAAACACAAAAACCCAACTCGGAGTTTCAAAATAACAGGTTTATGTTATTAACATACTACACATGACATGTGTAGTGACAACACACTACACAGCCCCATGAATTTATTGGCTCTCTCTCTCTCTCACTTACTCACACTCACACACACACACTCTGGTAGCAGGAGAAAGAGGCTCAGTGGAAGGGTTGGAGTCCAGGTAGGGAAGAGAAACAGAGTCCAAGTCCTTGGTTGAAGAGAGGGTTGGGATATTACATTACGCTGAGAACACTGGGTCCCAAGTAGCATCTGTAGCTATATTTAAATCCCAGTTGTCAATAGCAGCTTCCCAATGGCCTGGCGTTCGTATACTATCTCATTCACATGTAAGGAGTGTTCTTATGAGGGGAGGGACAAGGTTAGCACCATATAAAATGGCTTCACACTTTAACGTGTAAGCTTGTTTGTGGAAAAGCATCACCCTATGTGGACAGAGGTGGAAAAGGCCATCCTGTGAATTCAACTTGGCTGTAGCTTGACTTCTTTATGCAAAAAGAACTTTTTAAAAATGAAATAGGAATATCTGCTAGTAACAATAAAATTACCATAAAGGCAACACTTTATTTTCATGCATATCAGGTTTCAATATTATGCAGCAAGCTTTCCACTCACTTATACCAGCCTTATGGCTGAGGAGTGGTTGGTGTCCACATGTGGATGCACACACCCTGCAGAGGGTTGTAAAAGGGTCACTAAAAGTCTCCTTCATGTTAGTCTAGCTGTAGATTAAACTGTGTCCCAAAACAATATAAAACAGCCTGGAGGTTACTCAAAATTGCACCAGTCACCAGTGGCACATTAGAGTAGTCAGTGGTCACTAAGGTTGCACACCCATTTTGACCATGGGCCATGGAGTGGGGGGAGGAGACAATCTGTATTTATTCTGGCTACAGAACTTCTGTTGATAGCAACAGATGATCCAGGTACTGAGTGAAATGTATCAAAGGGGCTGCAGTAGAGTTGCCAGCACTCTGCTGTGTGGGAGGGCCCAGGCTGTTAAACTGTACCTCCACACACCCTGCATACTTCAAAGCACCTTCTCTTTCCATGCAACCATATAGGATGATGGAGCTAAGATGCAGCAGGAGGTGAAGGCCTGTGACATCCTTACTGATACGAGTTCAATAGCCAAAACCCTCTGCGGGTAGGTACTGTTGGGAGGGAGAGCAAACTAAATACTACTTGCTTTGGATGGTGTTTCTTCAGCCTTTCTGCTAACGCTGGGCATGTCTCCTTTATAAATGTATGTAAGCTATAAACCCTGCATTTAAGCCTTTGCTAACAAAATGCTTTATTTGTGTGCAGACATAAATAAAACAGTGCAGTTTCATAGAATCATAGAAGTAGGGTCGGAAGGGACCTTGTAGATCTTCAAGTCTGACGCCCTCCCTGGGCAGGAGGAAACCTGGGCTCCAATGCCCCCAGCCAAGTAGGCATCAAGCCTCTTCTTAAAGACCCCCAGGGTAGGAGCCAGCACCACTTCCCTTGGAAGTTGGTTCCAGATCGTAGGCGCCCTAACTGTGAAGTAGTTCTTACGCATGTCTAATCTAAACCTACCCTCCAACAACTTGTGGCTGTTATTCATGTGGCTGAGGAGGAAGAGGGCACTGGAGGGCTGTTCTCTGGATGCCCA